AGTCTTTTGAATGTAGTTAGCCTTCTTTCTATTTAACTGCTTTTTTAATTCTGAATTTATATTTTATCATTAAAATGGTTAGTGTCTTAAAATATTCCATTTTAGCTTAGATACTGAAATATACAAAGCAAGTTTAAAGAGAATTCAGTTTTTCAGATTCTTAAGGATCAGAATTTTGCTTTTTCCATTTTTGCACCCCAAAACTGTTTTGCGTGAATACAAAGATTTTTGTGACTACCTATTTACTTTGTTCTTTTTGCTTCAGATTTATCATCCATCATGTTATGAAGATTATCAAAATGTAAGTTTTTGGATACTGTGTTCTCGTTTACATTAATGAATTTAGGCTTAATGTTTATGTAACATTTAGGTTGTTCATTAAATATTGGTGCTAGATTGATGGGATCTTTTATGTTACTATCTTCGGTATTTTAGTCATTGAGAAAGATAAATGGAACACACTGACTCTCAAGGAGTATTTGTTTCATGGGTTTAAGAGACTAGAATTTCTAGGATAATTTGTTGGTTTGTAAGGATATAAAAAAATCTTACATATTTGAAATGACGACAGTCACAAAAGCCGTATGTAAGTCATCATAAATGTGGTTAAATGGTAGAACATATCTGATCACTTTCTTTTGGTCTCCTTGTCTGTTACTGTTCTTATTAGATGAGCTCATTGCTGAGTTTGTATTAAATGTTAATATACATTTTATTATTCAGTTGCCTTTATGGCTTTTTTTGTGGGGAAGTGGGCAGGCATTCACTTGTAGTTAGTGGGATGTAAGTTCCTTTGCCCTCAAACAAGGTTCTTTTAAAACTAGATGCTATTTAACGTAATAATTTTGAACTTTCATGAAGACTTATAGGGCTTTTCATTTTGTAGACATCTTCATTTGATTGTACACCATCTCCCAGCAAGACACCAGTGGAAAACCCTTTGAACATTATGTTGAACATTGTCAAAAATGAATTGCAGGAACCCTGTGAAAGTCCCAAAGTTAAGGAAGAACAAATTGATACTCCGCCAGCTTGTACAGAAGAAAGCATATCCACATCCACTGAAATTAAAACAGAAAATGATACAGTTGAATCAGTTTAAATAAAATGAGAAAGGTATGTTTTTCTTTTTTACAAAAGCTGCTGTTGAATCTAGGTGAAGAATTTTTTTATGTATATATAGACCTATATCTATATAAATTGTCTAGCTGAGGCAGGGCCTTCAGCTATCATTTGGTTAATAAATACATTTTAGTATTTGCATTTCCTACTGCCTGCACAGTTTCAGGTGCTTGTTGTGTGAAAGTTCTGTAGATGTGTGCAAATTTAACAAAATGAAATTGTATGTGTAAAAATGTACGATTTTCACTTGTGAAACTGTAAATTATAAATAAAAAAAATATTTTTGCTACCCATGGAGTGTAATATTTATGCACACCATCAAATAAAGTGTTTCTGTACTTTTTATTGGGTGAAAATGGAATTAAACCACCTCAACATAAGATTTTTTTTCTAGTAGCATCCCATGATTAAAAATAGCAAATATGAAGTTTTATCCTTCAAAAGGGAGTTGTGAGAGAGCACTGTAGAACTTTCTCGAATAGAAGTTTTGAAAAAAATCTTAAAATAGAACATATTTGCATATGTATATAAATATATATACATATATATATTCCAGCTATGAAGAATCATCCAGATGTCCATTTCTGAAAAGTAGCTAATGAAGCAACTTTTATTCTTGAACACGGACACTGATGACATCAAACAGTTAACATATTTAAGTTTTTTTTTTTTTTCAAATGCTTTTTCAAATTGTCAAACAATTTAATGCAGATGAGCACGTTTCTCTTTTAAGTTATGGGGGAATCTGTAAGAATGTTCATTTGAAACATGGTTAATCTTTTTTTCCTTTGTTTTTAACTGAATTAGATGGATACCATGAGATGTTAATATTCATACATGTAATAAATAGAATGATGAAGAAACTTCCAATTTGTATCTCTTTATTTTTTGTATGGCTTTAGAATGTGACTTTTCTTTTTCTTAGGCCTTTCTTTCATCTCTTTATTTAAAACATGAACTTGGCACCTGCTGTTAAGCCAAGCACTGACATAAATGATTTATTTTTCCTGTCATCTGTTGCAGGTGATAGGCATATAAAACAATGGAATTCAGTTTATTGAGCACTTACCATGTAGTAAGTAGGCTCTGGCAGACTTTACATATACTTTCTCGTACTTAACAACTAATCATTTAAGGTAGCTGGTATCACCATTTAATAGATGAAGAGAGTGAGTCATCCACTTTACTTCAAAAGTGATAGAATTTAACATTTTGCCTCATTTAACCTCATACTATTTCTGCAATAATAGAAAAATAAATAAATGTTAGAAGTAGGTACACCAAACTGCCTGGTGATGAGTAAGAAAAACTACAGTGGAGGTGACATTTGATTTGGAGGATAACTAGGAGTAGAGTAGATGTATGTGAGAAAGAGCAAACACAAAGACTTAAAAATAATTTATGTGTTTTCAAAAATTGATTTTTATATATATAGCCAAAACCCAGTGATTTTAAGTAAGATATGAAGAGCCTTCTTGGTCATGCTAAAAGTTTACATTACTCTGATGACCACAGAAGCCACTAGAAATTTTAAACGGAAGTGACATCTGCATGTTTTTTGTAAGAATCAAGCAGATAAAAATTTAAAAAGATTATTTAAATGCAGAGAGGCCCAGTAAAAAACCTGGTAAATGTCCACTGGATTTGGGAATAATAAACACATTATGTAATAGCTGAACTTAAGAATATAGATAAACACTGTGGTAAAATGCTGGGGTCCGTGAATCTAAAAATACAGGTAACATTCCATTATGCATTTTTCTGGGGAGATAATCCATAACTCTTGTCAAACGCTTAAAGGAAAAAAGGGAAGGGAGGATGACATTCAAACCTACAGGTGTGCCAAGAGTTTCTGTGTATAGGGCGAATAGGGCAAGTCTCTAGGGAACAAACATTTAGACTGGTGGGTGGGAAAATGGGAAAGAAGTATGGAAGTATCAAATGTACTACTGGAAAACCAACGGAAAAAACTATTCAAGGGATGGACAGTGAAACAAAAGATGATAATGAGTCCCTTAAGCGTATATATGCACATACATACATACACACCCACACACAAACTTCCTTAAAAAAATTGGGAAGTAACACTGCTGGCTAGAGAAGTTTTAGCTGAGTGGGTGCTAACACCATTTGCAATGGCTTGTGTGGGTGAGGTAATAAAAGTTAAGAGCTGATTTTTTTATGAAATCTACTTTAAAAGTTAAATTGAAAAATGTAGAGATTAAAATGTAGTTAGAATGAGACAAAAGCTCATTGTAGAGAAATCTCAAGAGGGCAAAAGATGGTTATCAGTAGCACCAAAAACAAAACAGAAACCCCAAACTCAGTGGAGTTGGATCTGCCTCACAAAGACCCCTCCTTGGGTTTCTGAAGTGGTATCTCTACAGAAGTAGATTGTCTAACCTTCCTTCTGAGGAGGGGCTGGTGGGTTTGAACCACCAGCCTTCTGGTTAGCAGTCAAATGCCTTAGGCACTATGTTACCAGAGCTCCCATCAATAGTACAGTAGGAATTAATCTTGGAATGGAGGCGAGTGTTTGCTTTGTGAGGTGGTCACAGGCTTTTACAGTTGAGTTCAATTTCCTCCTTTAGGAGACTAGATATGGATAGTGATCTAGTTCCCAAATTTGGCAATGCATTGTTGTAATTTCTGCTGAACGTTAAGAACACAGATTCCTCAGCTAGATTTTTATTCAGATTTTTTAGGTTTGAAGTGCCCATCTCTAACATTTAAGAAGCTCCACATTTTCAAGCATTGATAACTTAGAAATCAAGAACATTAGATTTTAGCTTCAAAGGAGGTTGAAAAATAGTTACCACATAGCAGTGGGGGAGTTAGAACTAGTAATCTATGCTGGAAAGTGCAGCAAGAAAAGCTGGAGTCTCAGAAAAGATAAACATTGTCTTTTGAATTAACACTTGGAAGTTTATGAGAATAAAAAGCATTGTGTGATGCAATTCCTGAAATCTGGGGATTTCACTGAATTTTTACTCTATGATGTTTTCATTTAAACATAATTTTCCTACTTAAAACTTCAAAGTTCTAGAAAAGACCAAAGCAATTATATTGTAATTCACCTAAAAATTACAAAATACCGTGAGAAAAGGACTTTATATTAAAAAAAATCTCATTTAACAGCTTCATCTAAAATAGAAAATTCTATATTCTAGGTAGGTCCCTGGGTGGTGCAAATGCTTTGCACTGAACTGCTAACCTAAAGGTTGGTGGATCAATCTCACCCACCAGTAGTGTGGAAATAAAACCCACTGGGGGTGGATCTTCAGTAGACTACAGTCAAGAAAACCCTACAGAGCAGTTCTACTTTGTAACCCATGTGGTCTCCATGAGTTGGAATCAACTTGACAGCAACCAACGATATTCTAGTTGATTCCTTGGCTGCCTTTTTCTACAACCCATATAGCACCCAGAAGTGCTCCAAGAGATTTATACAAAATATCTGGGGAGCTCTGAAGAGGCTTTGAACCATGCCTGCAAGTGGCAAGTATACAGAAGGAAGAGTTAGTTAAGCATCAGAGTAGAACTGTGCTCCACAGGGTTTTAAATGGATGATTTGTTTGGAAGATCACCAGGCCTATCTTCCAAGGTGATACTTGGTGGATTCAACCTCCAATCCCTAAGGTTGTCCTGAGTTGGAATTGACTCTACAGCAATAGAAAAGGGGGAGGTAAATTGGAGATGCCAAGAAAGGCCTGAATGTCAACTACAGGAGTGGAAGTTTTATCCTAATCCTATATAGGGTCAGCCAATTGAGATAATGGGCACTTTGTTGGGCAGGTAGGGAAGAATGAACTAAGTCAAGAAGCATTCACAGGGCATCCCAGTGAGGGTTTGGGAAGGGTACCCAAGGGAGAGTAAAAATGTCTCGAAGGATACATGGGCAGAAAAGAGTAGAGATAGTTACTAAAATTTTTGGCCTGGTGCTAGCCTTTGGAGCTATATTTCAAGAGCCGACTACAGGGACAGCCTGCTTTATCAAGCCACCTTGGAAAAACTGGGTACAGGTGGACAACTTCAGCCACTTTTACTAACTGAAACTCTTAAGACTTCTACTTACAAAGGGTCCTGCTGCTCTGAAATGCTGTAATGCCCACTTCAGCGTGAAGAATGCTGCCAGCGTATTCTGACCCTTGTTTCACTTGGGAAACTTCTTTTCATAATCAATCCCCCACTTACCTTGAAATCCTGTGCAATTTGTTTTTTGCCTCTTGATTTCTTCATTAAAATTGTTCTATTGTCCAAAAATATATGAGTTTTTCTTAGCCTCTTAAATCTTTTCTGGCCCAAATATTCCTTCTTAAAACTATCTTCTCTCTCACTTTATTCAGTGACAGTGCCCATTTTCCTATTATTTTTATTTAGAATTAAAAAACCCAGAAAACTAATTAAAATGAAAGTAAGTCTACTTTCACACTTTCTTGTTCTATAAAGTAACCATTGAATTAACAATCTGGTAATTCTCCAAATTAAAATTTTTTTTACAAAGTAATTTCTAAAAATTAAATGTGATCATGTGCGTATTATTCCACATTTTTAAAATTTGCTGTATTTTACTAGTTTTTCCATGTTAATTAGTTTTTACAACTGTGTAGTAATTTATATTACGAATGTAGTATAATTTAGCTATTCTTTTATGGATATTCATTTTTTATCCCCCCCCATGTATGACTATCTCACTACAAACAATCTGAGCTAGTTATTTGGAAGATTTTAGAACTGCGTAGTTGCTGGTTCAAGAGTTATATTTAAATTTTCACATTCTGTTAATTGCTCTTCATGGGTCACACCAATTGAGTCTTTCACCATTTACTCATCCCTTGCTGACAGTCATTAGCCATAATCTTTGTTTTCACCATTGTGATAGGTAAACAGCAGTCTTCCACGTTGAGCATCCTTTCCCTTGTTAGTTTGTTCCCGGTGTATTTATCATTTTCTTTGCTCACTTTTGAGTTACCCTCTATCAGTTTGTAAGTTTTCTACATAAGAATCATCTATGTCATATACATTGCACTTACTCTCCCAGCCTACCCTGTATCAACTTTATGACATATCCTATAGACTTTAATTCTAGTCTATTTCACTAATCTATTTGTCTAATCCTGTTCCTATACTACCCTGTTTCAAACACTCAAGCTTTATAGTTCTGATAGTGTATTTGGATAGGTTTATCCTCATTAATTCTTTTTTTTCAAAAACATTTTAGTTCAACTTGTACATTTACTATTAAGAACTTTAAAATCATCATGCCAATTTCCACTAAAAACTTCACTGAATTTTGGCTAGAAATGCAACAAATGTATACTTTGATAATATTATCTTGAAAATACTGAGTGTAATCATGTAGGGATATAATGTCTTTCCATTTATTCAGCTCTTCTGTAATGTCTATCAATGAAGTTTTTTTTTTTTTTTTTAATACAGGTTTTGCTCATTTGGTAGGTTTATACCTAGATTTCATATTATTTGTCACTAATGAAAAATTTCATGAGATTTCTTCCTTTGGATCTGATGATTATTTCTAGTTTATAAGAAATCTTAATTCTGGATGTTGCTGACATTTTACCATATTCTCTACTAATTTTAAATGTTTTACCATTTTACTAAACTCTCGATTAGTTCTAATTTAAATGTTTTAAAGTTATCAGACTTTCCAAGAGAACAATATCATTTGCCTAATTTTGTCCTTTCCAATTTCATACTTGATTTACCTTGCTTTATTACACAGGGTCACTGATTCTGAATTGTAGAAATGAAAGCACATGTTGGACCATGACATTAAATACACTGTTCATTTCTGGTTGATATCCTTCATCCAGTTATGAAAGTTTCATTATTTGCTTAATATGAAATTTTTCCCCATGATTTTTCAATCAGTAATAGATGCTAATTTTTCAATTACTTTTTAAGCATCAGCCAAGATTATATAAGTTTTTCTTCTTTATCTGTTAATGTAGCAAATTTTCATTACTATATTGTCTGTTGACCTATTACTAATAGGTTTAATCAAAAACCAAACTCACTGCCAAGTTGATTCAAACAACCTTCCTTGGGTTTCCAAGGCAGTATCTCTACAGAGGTTCCGAGAAGAGGCTGGTGGGTTTAAACCACAGCCTGCTGGTTAGCAGTCACATGCCTTAGGCACTATGCCACCAGAGCTCCCAATACTCAACTTAGCATGACACATCTTAATTCACTGCTACTTTCACTTACATTTTACTCAGGATTTTTACACGGACGTTTGTGAGACAACTATGTTGTTGTTGTTATGTGCTGTCGAGTCGGACCTGACTCATAGCAACCCCTCCTGGTTTTCCAAGGCACTATCACTACAGAAGTAGATTGCCCCATCTTCCTTCCAAGGAGTGCCTGGTGGGTTTGAACCACCAGACTTCTGGTTAGCAGCCAAGTGCCTTAGCCACTATGCTACCAGAATCCCGAGACAAACAGGCTTTGTTTTTTTTCACTAACCTCATTTAGATCATTAGAGTTATGCTACCTTCATAGGTGGCAAGCACTCCATTCTTTTCTGTGCTTTGTTCCTAGTGATTTTTGTGGGTGACAGAGTCTTATAATTAGCCTGTTAAGGTTTTCTAACTCTTATGCCAACTTTTTAAAATTTTTATTTCCCTAGAAAATTATCCAAGTTGATTTTCAAAATTATCTGCATAAGGTTACATATATTAATTCACTTTTGATTTTCAAAGTCTCCATCATAGCTGTAGGAGCTCTGGCATATCTGTAATCAGTTCCCTTTGTTTCCAATATTTTCTCCCCTATTTGTCCTCAGATTTTCTGAGTGTCTATTGTATTGTTCTTTTCAAACACCAGCTATGATTTTGATCAATTTTGTATTTCATTAATTTCTGCTTTTACTTTAGTTTGGAGACTGTAGTTTTTCTGTTTCTCCACTACCAATTTATGTCTCATTTTCTGGTCCTTCTTCCTGCTACGTGTATATTCTTTAAGGCTGTCATGTGCTGCTTTAGTCCCTTGGTAGTTTATCTACTTCATACAGCAAAGCAAGAAATAAAGCCTTTATCATTATTATAAGTAGTTATAAGCACTGTATGAATCTAGTCAGTCATAAGTGGGTTCCAATTTCCCACTTTGAGATCTTGACCAAATCACAGCTGTTTCTTCATCTGTAAAAACAAACAACAATACATATTAAGTTTGACACTATTTGCAAATCATGCAGCATAGAAATTGGTCCACGTCAATCACTTAACAGCTATCTAGTTAAGATGAAAGGCTTCAACTGTCCATCTCTAAAAATGAGGCTATTAGGACAACTAACTCCAAGTTCCCTTTCAAGTCTGAAAAATTTTACTTTTAGCTTACCTATAAATTTATCCACCTGACCATCAACCAATTAATGACCTACTCTCTGGATGTTAAGAATGCCAAGAATGCAAGCGACCTTTCAGAAGCTTGGAAAGCCATGGGGTGAAGGACAGAAGGAATAACTGTTACATAAGTAATTAAAATACAACACACAAAGAGTTGTAATAAAGTCTGTGGAAATTCAGAGACTTTGAAGAGCACATGAAGCAAACTCACAGCCTAGGGTAGAATCCTAACTCAATTACTTACTACTTTTTTTTAATCCTCAGGCAATTAACTTTTGTGCTTTATCTGTAAAAAAAATAACAACAAAAAACCAGTAGTCATTATCCAGGCAAGTTATAATAAGGATTAAAGAAGGTAACTAATATAAAGCACTTAGTACAGTGCCAGAGTGATCATATGAACAGCAAATGCCAGCTAATATTGTTGTTATATAAAATGCTATGCAAGTTAAAGGGTCATTTATTATGCCTCAGGGAGGAAAGGTAGGATCAAGGGAAGTCCTCCACACATTTACACAACAGTATCAGTGGAGTGAGAGTAGCTTTTTGGTAGCAAGAACAGCATTTACAAAAGCACAGATATGAAAAAGTACTGTACGTTATCAGAGGGAGAAGATATTTGTGGCAAGGTAATAAGTGTGGAAAAAACCAAGTTGTGAAGAGGAATCAAGGCGGGTAATCCCCTGAAGCACAGAGAATTCTGATTAATTTCTGTATTCTGAGCTGCTGACCCGAAGTTTCAACTACCTGTTCAAAATAAATAGTAAATATAGGAATATATGTTAAGCAAGAGGGTTGGAGAAAAAGATCCAGGCTAAACTGATCAAAGTAAACAAATAAGCTACAGTAAAGGAACTGGACTCAAGGGACCTGTAGCAGTCTTTGTATTAAAGACCTGTGTTTTTACACTGGCTCTACCACTTACCTGCTGCTTGGCCTTGGGCACATTACTGATACCTTGAGTCTCTTTACCTGTAAAATGAGGATAACACCTACCTTGCAAAATTATCTTGAGAATTAAATAACAAGCGATTATCAAAGAGCCTGGCACTCAGTAATGACAGCGGCTGCAGCTGCCGACTTCTTTCGGTCTGTTTCCATACTTGTGAAATGACAGGGTAATAACAGATACTCTAATGCTCTATCCAGCACTGGAAAATTATACTTGCTTGGCCAAGGACGAAAAGGGGAAAGGCCCCGCCCGGCCCGCGCCACAGGTCACCTACGCAGAGTGCAGTCCCTGGGCCTTCTCCTGGGTCGCTGAACGATGGAGGACGCGATCGACGTCAGACAGTTACAGAGACTGGGCTTAATATACACTGGGTGTGAGACCGACCAGAATTTTACCGAAAAGCGGTCGCTATAACCACTCGATTTCTCCAGAGGTGAAAGCTTAAAAAAGGTTCATGCAGGGAAGCCGGAAGTGACGTAAGGCGTAAGGAACTGGAAATGACCGCAGCACGTCGGTAGTTTACTCGTTTCCAAGGCGACGGCTCCTCTTCCGCCGGGGTCCGGAGGCTAGAAAGCAAGTAGGACAGAGTTTTAACCCACCCGGCCGTCGCCACCACCTCGATTATTCCGGAGTATCAAACGAAAGCGGCTGCCACATTAGCCACCACGTGGGGGGAGGGGTGGATAAACGTCTCATAGGGCCATTGTGGTGGTGAGTAGAAAGAAAAAGTTAGCGAAGACCAGGACTTTAGTCGCCGGAACGACAGGCAAAGAATCAGTAAGGACTGCGACTACCGCTGCAGGGGTTGCACGGAAAGAGTTAAGTGCAGACCCTGACTCGACGGCAGCGAGAGTTGGTGCCACCGCCTTAGTGTGTTTCGTGAGAGAATTAGGAGAGAGAGTGGTGACTGCCACAGCTGCTCTTGGGAGGGAGAAGATCTGGGCTTCCGCAGCAGCGACGTGAATTTCAGCGTGAGTGAAGTCGGCAGCGGTCAAGCTAGCGACTTCGTGGGAACAGTCAGAGAAGACCGCGGCCACAGCCTCCGCGATACTTGGAAGGAAGTCAGTGAAGTTCAGAACCCCCGAACCAGCTACTCTGGGAAGTTCGTCAGCGACGACTGTATCTGCTGCCTCAAGTGGCTCTTGGGAGGGAGGAAGTGTTGATGCCGGCCACAGACTCACTAGTTCTCGGGAGGTAGTAAGTGAAGACAGAAGACAGCAGTTAAGCTGACAGCGACTCGGTGGTGAACGTCAGCGAAGACTTCGGTCACTGCCTCAGTGGTTTTTGGGAGAGAGAAAGTGAAGAAATTTCCCACCACGGGGGCTCCTGCGGAAGGACAAGAGAGGACCGCGGTCTCGGTCCAAACAACGACGACAACCCGGATAGCCGCTGCCACTGCATTGGCTCGTGAGTGAGAGCAAGTGAAGACCGCTGCTGCAGCAGGAGTCTAGACTCAACTCTTCCCCAAAGTCCAGGGGGTTGCACCATACCCGGGGTGTCGGATTCAGGCCCCTCCACCTGTTCTCCGATGACTGCAAACACGAGGGAGTACGGTAAGCCTACCTCGTGGGTCTTTGTACGCACTCCTTTTCTCACTTCAGCCCCCCAGGAGCCGTAAGCTCTTTCTAGCACTTTCCTTTCTCAGCCGCCTCTCCTCATTTCACTCTTTGACCTATTTTGAGTGGGCCACCAAAGCTCTTCACTCATCCTCCACTCTCCCTCATTTCAGCTTTCCTCTCTTTCTTTCCATCTCCACCATTCCTTTAAGTCTTCTTGCCCAGATTGACATCAACTCTTAAATCTTATGGACCCTTTTAAATGTTCTTACTTGGCTTCTCTGCAGCATTTGACCCTGTGGAGATCACAACATTAGACTTAGCTAGTTTTCTTCTTTCGGCTGTTTTGAGTCACTTTTACTTTGCTTGACTTCTTTTCTACCATCCTCTCCTTAAATTTTATTTTTCCCTCGACAGTGCCATCACTAACTAGTCCTCTTTCTCTTGTTATGTGCTATGGCTTCAAGCCTATTAATGACCCCCCAAATCTATGTTATTCATTCAAACATCCCTTATATGTTTATTGAGTGCCTGCTATGTGCTTTGTCTGATGAATATATCAGTAAAAGAAGACAGACACGTTCCTTAACTTCTAATGGGGAAAACAAATTCTGACCAAATATTGACTAATAGGAATATTATAGAGAAGTGTATAGCGCCATTGGTTCCAGTAGAGTGAGAATGGGGCTCAGAAAAAGCCTCCTAACACTGAGAGCTGAACTGCAGATGTCTCCTCTGAACTGCAAACTCAAATCTACAACTCCTGGAATTCTTGGGCATCTCAAGCCCCACATGTTCAAATGTAACTTTGTATCCATATATAATTTTTGTTTTTCAGTGTTCTCTGTCTGGATTAGTGGCACTTGGGTCCACTTAGAGGATTTAAGCCAGAAACCTTGGAGTCATACTACTTCTCTTCCCTTATTGTATCCATCCAAGTTCAGTTCATCCTATTTCCATAAATGTTGAATAGATCTCTTTTTCTTTTCTCATTGCTACTATCTTATTAGGAGCTCTGGTAGCTTAGTGCCTAAGGCACTTGACTGCTAACCAGAAGGCTGGCGGTTCAAACCCACCAGCCACTCCTCGGAAGGAAGATGGGGCAAATCTACTTCCGTAGTGATACTGCCTCAGAAACCCAAGGAGGGGTCGCGATGAGTCGGGTCCAACTCGATGGCACGTAACAACAACAACTATCTTATTTGGGAGTCTGGACCTTTCTAGTTTGGACTACTGCAAGTGTCTCTTTACATGATCTCCTTGACTCTTTAGGTTTACCTTTTTGCTCCCCAGTCTCATAAGCTCAGCATTACAAGTCAGGTATTTATTTTTATTCTGTCTAAACTTACTAAACAACTCCTCATTCTCTGCTCAAGTTCAAGTTTGTTTTAAAACTTCTGTCATACTCTCTCTTTTGTCTAGTTCTAGTGTCTTCTCCTTCTACTAATTTATGCTTCAGTAGTGTTTTTTTTTTTTTGGTGTGTGTATATGTGTGCGTGTATGTATGTGTGGTTTCTTAATACCTTTCCCTGCTTTCTGGTAAACTCTGCTAATCCTTGAAAGCCAACTTAAATATTACCTCCTCCAGGAATCCTTTTCTATTCTCCTTCCCTTCTATCTTAGCTGAGTTATGTCTCTCTTTTGTACTCCCATAAATTCTTATGAATATTGCCATCATTAAACCTACTATGTTATTTTATAATTTATATTTGTATTATCTCTACTGGTGTATGAGTTCCTTAGGGGGTAGAGACCATGCCTTCTTAATGTTTTTTTTTTTTTTAAACTTACCAAAATACATTTTATTCATGTTGTTTTTATACTCACTTCTGTATCATCCTCAGTGGTACTCGAAAGTGGAACCCTATCCCATTGTACTGAGGCAATATTTCACCTTAAAAAAAAAAAATAGAACCGCTGAAGATGCACCACTCCTTCCATAGATATTCTGAGAAAATAAAATGTATAAAGGGTAATTGGAAATTTTATATATATAGATATATTTTAATATATATTTATTTTAAAGAAGTAGACCAGGGTAGGAAGGCAGGAAAAAGCAGAACTAAAACTAAAAATGGATATGGGCCTTCAAGCCCAGAGGTCTTCTGACAGCTCACTAGCGAGTTCCTCTGTTGGAGGCTGGAGCACTCACAGGTGGTTGGAGGTGTCCAAGGTGTAGGTGAGAATAACTCTGGTCTGAGTTTTCAGGCTTCAGGACCTTACACCCAGAAGCCCAGGAAGCATGATGCCTTTCTCATGAGTGCTGCTATAGGTGATATATCTATAAACGTTGAGATTGATGAATGAACACACCTGGCTTTCTCTACCAAACCCTACACAGTATGCTTTTAAAGCCTGGGGACCCTAATGAAGAGCTTTGCTTCAAGAAGGGACTCTATCTCTACAGAAAAGACTATGGGAGGGCCTCCTTCTTCCAGCTCAACTCCTCAGACCAGGGGACACTCCTGGGCATATGGGAGGGGTTAAGGTGGGGATAAGGCAGGAAAGGGAGGATTGGCAGGGTGCACCCAGACAATGCCCCTTCCTTCCAAAGCTGAGATCAGGTCCATGCCCTCTGTCTTCTGATCCGCCTCCCTCACTTGATCACAGAGATGAGCAGTCCTGAAAGGGCTTTGTTTTTTGCTGACAATGCTTCTGTATTTCTGGCCAGCTGCTTCTGCTGCCACCAATTTTTTTTTTTTTTTTTTTTTT